GGGGGGGGGGGGGGGGGGGGTCCCGGGGAAGAACCGCGTCCGCCCTCCGGTCTTTCCCTCCTGCAGGCAGGGCTCCTGGCAGTGGAATGTCTGACTTTGTAGCCACTCTGCACTCCTCCAGAGGCCCCCCAGGGATCCTGATTCAGGCCTCTTCGGAAAATCAGTCCCCTCCCTGAAGTTAAACCAGATCTCTGCCTGGCCTCAATCTACCTTGTCCTACCCTGTACTTCAGTACACCCTGTTCTGGAGTCTGTTAATCCCTCCTCATCCCCTTGACTCTTTCACCTCTTCAATAATCTGGATCAAATGTCTCCCTGACTCTGTGTTTATTATTATCTCCCTCTCTCTTTTTTTTTTTTTTCCTTCTTCCATGAAGCAAGGTTGTGGGGTATCGTTGCAGAGGCTGTGCACTGCACAAACTCTAGAGGCACCACTTCCATAGACTGCACTGCCACTGTTAGATGTTCACATATAAGAACTGTGCTGGTATCTGTTCATGGCTGCAAACCCGGGGGTAGGGAATATGTCATGATTGGCGCCATCCCCCAGTGCCTCACAGGCAGGATCTTTTCTCAAGAGAGGGATCCCAGCCAGTTTCGGCTTGTACTGCATGCATCAGACCTGGCCACGGCCACACTGTAAGGAACGAGCATTTGCTGAGCAGGTGACAGACGTTTGCTTCTTTTTCTGTGGTGCCGGTGAACGAAGCCAGGTCCTGGGACGTGCAGGGCAAGCACTTTACCTCCAGTCGTAAAGGCAAAAGCCTCTCGCCGAAGTGGCTGGGGCCCGGGTCTGCCAGCCTCGCGCCAGGCGTTTCCGCCCGTGGTGCTTGGGGGCTGGCGGTGCCCTCGGGACACTGGTTCTGGTGCTGGGTAGCAGTCGTGGCAGTTGAGATCCTGGCTCATGTGGCTTCACCCCTCCAGGAGCAGGGCCTGCTGGGCCTCACCCTGCTCACCCTACCCCTGCCCGCCTCTAACGGGAGAATTCATGCCCATCCCTGCCCAGTCTGCCGTGTTCTTTCTTGTACCAGCCACATCCCTCCCTCCTTCCTTCCTTCCTTCCTTCCTTCCTTCCTTCCTTCCTTCCTTCCTTCCTTTCTTTCTTTTTTTCTTTCTTATTCCTTCCTTTTCCTTCCTTCCTTCCTTCCTTCCTTCCTTCCTTCCTTTCTTTCTTTTTTTCTTTCTTTTTTGTCAAGTACTAGGAATTACACCCAGGGCCTTCACGCTGAATTACATCCCCAGCCCTTTTTATTTGGAGACAGAGTCTTGCTAAATTGCTAAATTGCCTAGGCTGGGCTCAAACTTGAGATCCTCCTGCCTCAGCCTCCCAGGCTGCAGGGATGACAGGTGTGCACCGTGATGCCCACTCCATGCTGTGATTTCAGTGTATCCTCCACAAGTGCTTCTGTTGGAAACAGAATTCTTAACACAACAGGGTGCAGTTGGGGTCTGTAAAGGTAAGGCCTCACCATTCTGAGTAGATCAGTGATGATTATAAAAGGCTTACAGAGGAATTATAAAATGATTATAGGAATTATTACAGAAGATTATAAAAGGCTCTGCAGAGGAAGGCATGGCATGAGGGGCTGGCAGAAGGTAGCAGCTCACATCACGGCAACCAGGAAGCAGAGCGCTAAGGGAGGAACCAGGAGAGAGCCAGGCCCTTCCAGGTCATACCCTCACCTCTTCCAGCCAGGCCCCTCTTCCCAGCACTGAGCCAGCTGCAGCATCTCCATAATTTAATCACCTTCCACAGGCCCCACTTCTGAGCGCCTGAGGCTTTGGGGGGCATCCATATACCAACCACGAAATGACACAAGAAAGCCCTCCCCAAACGTGTGGCCATGACCCGGAACTTCTCGGCCTCTAAGAACTGTAAGAGACACATCTCTGTTCTTTATACATTTCCCAGCCCATGGCATTCTGTTACAGCCACATAAAATGGTCAAAGAGCATCCTCCAAGCTCAATGCATTTCAAAGACATTAAAGATGGGAGACTTAATCCCCTGTTAGCATTTACCGTACTGGCAAGGGTCAGCGAGCTATCTGGTTAGCCATTTGTTTGTTTAAATAAAGTTTTATTGGAACGTAACCATGTCCATTCATTTGTATATTGTCCGTCACTGCTTGCATGTACCCTCAAAGCGGCAAGTATTTAACCTCTGATCTTTTAAGAAAACATTTGCCACCCCAGTTCTAGAAGACATTAGCATTCTCTTGGACCCCACACACTCACACACCTGTGACCCTCGTTCCTATAATTGAGAAATCTTCTTCATGAAACAGAGCTCACTGCCCCCAAGTGAAGCTGAAAATTCAGATGTTGTGGTTGGTTAAGTGGTGGCCCCAAAAGATGTGCTGCCCCAGTACCCGACCCTGAGACTGACTTTAAATAAAGTCAGACTTTGGGAATACAGCCCCACAGATAGCTTGCTTCTGGATGTCCATCCTCCAGAACAGTGAGAGAATACACTTCTATTGTTTGAAATTGCCTGTTATCATAGGAAACCAATATACTCACTTTCCCAGCTTCCCTTGCGGCCAGAGCATAGACATGTGACTTGGCTCACCCAATCAGATGCCCCTTTGTAGACTAAGTGGGAAGCTAATGGAAGGAGGAAGTGGGAGCCCTGCCTTCCCCATGCAGAGAGGGTGGCAGTGGCCAGAGCTCCATGGTGATTTTCCAGGTGTCAGAGGCTGTAATTTTAGTAGCATTGGCCAGTGTCCAGAATTGTGGGTCACAAGGGAGCACATAAACTGTCTCTGCCTGTGGGGAGGAGCAGGGGCATCTTCACAGAGGGTCATTTTGGGGAGGGGTCGCTCCTGGCTGCACGCATTGCAAGTGGAATTGGCCAACTGGAAATTCTACAAGCTGACCTGTGTCCTCTGGGTCCATTTCTTTAGTTTAATTTTTGTTTTTGAGACAAAGTCTCACTATGTATGTAGTTCAGTCTGGCCTCGAACTCACTGTGAAGCCCGGGCTGCCTTCAAACCCCTTGCAATCCTCCTGCCTCAGCCTCCCAAGTACTGGGATTACAGGCGTGAGCCACCATGCCTGGCTCATTTCTTTACCTTCCTTTCCTGATGGAATTAGCCAGTGTTGGTGTCTGCCATATGCCAGCGGGTATGGAGCTGGAGCTCCTCAGCCCAGAGAGCTGCTGGTTTACATCTCTCCGGGACCCCTTGCTCTGTGACGTCACACAGTGCCTTTGTTTTCACCAGGGAAATCAGCGACTGCTACAGATCAGGGCTCTCTGTGTTTGAAAAGTAACTTTATCACCACTCTACAGGTTGTTTAGGAAGGAAAGCTGATTGATACCTCATTTCATCCTTGTATCCAGTCGCTGAGAGAGATTTTATAATCCTCTTTCTACAGATGAGGAAACTCGGTGAGATGAAAAGATTGTTCAAAGTCATAAATCTCTGAGGTGATGATCCAGGGAGCCAAACT